GTGTGCCAGGAAGAGAAGTTATCTGTAAACCTTCAGATTTATCATTGGACATCCCTGTTTATAAAAGCCTACACAGGGCTAGTATCTGGTATTCCTTCAGATATTTATGCCTTCTTTTGGTTTATCTCTATAAATTCTCCTCCTTCTCCTTTCCTAGTTTTCACTCTACTTTCCTTCTGGGCACAAAACAAAATTCCTCTTACTATCTCACTCAGGGCATTTTATCATCAACTTTTATGATTTTGACCACCAGTCCTCATTCTACCCTGTAGAGCTCATCACAAAATTTTATCCAACAAAGATGGTTCCCTCTTTCAGAGGAATTTTATTTTTAGCTATGATAATCATTATTAACAACATATGTATTTCATCTGTCAATGTGATTAGATTTTATTCCTTGTAAAAAAAAATTTACAGAAAGGGCCGCACCATGGAAAGGACTGCAAATGTTTCAAAATCCCAGTGATTAAAAAAGCCAATGGCATTATTTGACACCTGAATGGAAGAAGATAGATATTTAAGTGTTCCTTGCAAATGGATTTCTAGCAGAGGAAAAAAGATCTGGCAGTTCCTAGAGACAACGGTCTTTAGCCACCCACTACGACTAGGTTCTGAAGCCAGACTGGGTTAAATCTTCAATCTGCTCCTTACTAACTATGTGAATTTGGGCAAAATTTTAAACTCTCTGTGCTTTAATTTTCTAACCTGCAAATATTGATAACAAGAACACCCATCTCAAAGGGTTTTTTGGGAAGTTAAATGAATTAGCACCTTTATATATGCGCAGTATGTACTCCAACAATGGCTGCCGGTTGAAGTAAATCAGGCATCAAAAAGTCATGATGTGGTCATGATGAAGACCTGGATAAGATGGATGTGAAAGTCAGGATTGCTGTGGATTCTAAGAACCCTTAGGTATTCTCAGGGTTCCCTTAACTCCGAGATATAAAACTCGGCTTCATCACTTATTTCCAAAAATAAACCTTGCGGAAAACGTGTGCCAGGGAAGAGAAGTTGTGCATCTTGTGGGAGCCAATGAAAGAAAATCATTGTCCCGATGTGCCATTTTCTCTCTCTTCATGCAGATTTCTTTCTTTTGGTAAATACAACTGCCAAAAGCTCAGCTCTTTAAAGTTTTACACCTCTCCATTTCCATGAGAAGAACAACCAGAAGGCTTGTGTCATCTTTCAGGGACATAATCCTTCAAAGTTTCACACTCTGGGTATGTGTGCAGATTACTGAGACAGGAAAACATGACACATATCTCCAGGGTTTTTAAGTAATTTTATATGAAGTTGTTTCCTTCATATAAGTGGAATGCAGGTCCACTGTACAAAGTCTAGAATATGCAGATAAGCAAAATAAGAAAATAACAGTCATACCACAGGCCAGCACTCAGAAATAACAACTGTTAATATTTCATTGCAAATGCCTTTGATCTTTCAAATGTGTATGTGCCCCTGAGTATATAGATTTTTTTTTTTTAATGGAATGGTACAGTGCATGCAGGTTATCTTTCTGTACCTCAGGTGCACAGAGTTGAGTTAGCAGTGCTGCTTGATTCATGGCATACCATTTTTTCATCTCTTTCAAGGGACGCTTGTGGATTTTTCCCCTCCTTGTTTTCAAATTTCACATCTGTTCCCTACCCACTAATGCAGAAGTGCTAATACATTTGATATATTTTAATATATACTGTTCTTTTGAGTGTGGATATATTTGTAATCCATACAAATGATATTGTGCTCTAAGACCTCATCGTTTTTCATTCTTATTCAACACTGCTTCTGAAATCTAACCATGTTGCTATGTGTACATCTAGCTCAAGGTTCCACTGGATGCCTAGCATTCCATCACATTTTACTTACCTACTACCCTAGTGAAATACATGTGGGTTGCTTCATATGAATAACTGGGAAGAATTTATCTGCTTTAGACCAAGGATGGAGCTTCCTGGATCATAGAACACCTGAAGGCCTCATTTTACTCCATGCTGCCAGACTGTAGCCCAGATGGGGAAACCATTGTCTACTCTCTGCAGAGTGCATGGCATTATCCAGATTTCTAATTTTGGCTCATCTGATGGATGTAAAGTTGGATCTGACTGTTTCAATGTGCATTTTCTGATAATCAGGGACTTTGAGCATAGCTTCATACTCCTTAGCCAGTTAGATTTCTCAGTTTGAGAGTAACCTGTTTAAACCCTTAGCTTTGGTGGCAGGAGCGAGGATGTGGCAGGGGCGGGAAGGGGGGTCATGCCTTTTTTTTTCTGTTTGTAGCAGTCCTCACTTGTCTGTGGGAAATATGTTCCAAGACCCCCCAGTGGAGGCCTGAAATCACAAAGAATATCAAACCCTATGTTTGTTCCTAGGCATACCTACCTATAATAAAGTTAATTTATAAGTTTAGCATAATAAAAGATTAACAACAACTAATAATAATACAATAGGATAATTATAGCCATATACTGTTATAAAAGTAATGGGAATCTCTCTCTCTCTTTCTCTGAAAATATCTTATTGTACTGTACCCAGGATAACTGAAACCATGGAAAACAAGGCCTCAGATAATGGGAGACTTCTGGTGTTTGTCTGATTTTCTTGCAGATTCAAGATACCTACTTTCAGTTTTTCTGGCCTATATTTTGACAAACTGTCATCTTTGTGTTAACTTTCTTTAGTGTCTTTTGCCAAATGTAAATTCTTAATTTTTCTTTTATCCGTACATTTTTATTATTTACACTTATGGGGCCAAGCGTGGTGGCTCATGCCTGTAATTCCAGCACTTTGGGTGGCCAAGGGGGATGGATCACTTGAGCGTAGGAGTTCAAGACTAGACTGAACAACATGATGAAACCCTGTCTCTACAAAAAAATACAAAAGTTAGCCAGGTGTGGTGGCGTGCGCCTGTGGTCCCAGCTTCTAGGGAGGTTAAGGTGGCAGGATAGCCTGAGCCCGGGGAGGTCAAGGCTTCAGTGAGGCATGAGCGTGCCACTGCTCTCCAGCTTAGGCAACAGAGCGAGAGCAGTCTCTAAATAAATAAATAATTATACTTACAGCTTATATCACTCAAATGTAATCGTTTTGTTTTGTGCGTTGGAGAAATACTAGTAAAACCTGGTTTATTTTTTACAGAATTTCTTATAACTGGAATGTTTATATACATTGAAGTTATTTAAATTATTTTCAGAGTACTTTGTTGATACCATACCATTTGATTTTTATGAAAACTCTGAAGAGTAGGTGAGCAGATATCCCTATTTCATGGATGAAGAAACTGATTTGACTTGGATGGAGTGACCCTCCCAGGTTCACATAGCTCATCCGTTGCCATGCCAGGAGCAACAGGCAAATCCTTTGTCCCCCAGGCCAGCAGAATACCTGTGGGGCTTATCAAGAGTCAGGATTATTTCCAAAAAGGTATAATCATCTCAAACTTCTCCATGAAAACGTCACTTACCACCTAAGAAGATAGTCACACCAAAATGTTTGTTTTGATAAGTATGGATTGACTTACTACATTGGTCTAAGAAGTAAGCTCAATGGTCTTAAAAGAGGCAGAGGTGTTAGTGTGCTAAAAGACAACTCATCTCTTTGAACACTGTTGTGGGAAATAAGTTTTTTTAAATGAGTCCTGTTCTGAAAGTGATGAGTACAGATAATTTATGGTTTTCAAGGTAAGCCATTTTCTACACCTGCCCTCAGATTACAGAGATAGAACCAACCATTGGGCAAAGAAGAACAGAAACTTGAGTATGAAGAATGGGAAGTAAGGCGTTTCTAATCACTCTCGCATCAGGAAATATCCTCCAGGAAAATTAGTATGTGGTTAACTTTGACCTCGGTGCAGACCATAAAGACAGATGGGAGAGAAATATTGGACTCTGGCCCCTAAAATCAATGAATACTATCCCAGGGATGGGACTAATGAGCTGGGGGTCAGGTGGTTGTTTGTAGGGGAAGGTAAAGCCAAGCTCTTGGCTCCTGCTGGTAAAGGAAAAGGTGATTGAATGACGGGGTGATAGAGGGCTGATTCTTCAGTGTAATCTTAATTACATTTCAAAATGCTGTTCATCAGCATTTTGTGGACAAGGAGAAAAAAGCTCAGTCAACTGCTGGTTGACTCTTTAATCTTGGCTTGTCCTTCAGCACCACGGGCAATCGCAAGCAAGACCTGTGTTCTCTGACTGTGCATGTCTCCCTCGTAAAAAATCCTTTTGCATAATCCAGTTGAGCAAGGCTAGTAGTCGGAACTTTAAGAAGAATCAGTATTTTAAACAGTTGCCAAATGAGCTCAAAAGATTATAACAACAATAATTATAGTTTCCACTTACTGACTGCGTACTAGGTGCCAAGCATTGTGTTTAACAAGCACCATTTCATTTACTCAGGGGGAAAAACCCTAGGGTACAAATACCATTATTACCTCCATTTTGCAGATGAGGAAATTGAGGCTTAGAGATGTGGAATGAGTTGCCCGAGGTTACAAAGCTAATAACTGGCAAAACCGGAATGCAAATCCAGAACTGTCTGACTCCAAAGATGGATTTCTATATTCTTAAATTTTGTACGAATTATACACTGCTGCTTAACAAGGTACTTGAAAATTTAACCACTTAAAACAACAAACGTTATTATATCTCATGGTTTCTGAGAGTCACAAATCTAGGAGTGGCTTAACTGGGTGTTTCTGATGCAGTCTTTCTTGACGTTACAGTCAATGTGTCAATCAGGGCTGCAGCCATCTGAAGACTCCACCAGGGGTAGAACATTTGCTTCCAACATCACTCACGTGGCTGTTGGCAAGAAGCCTTAGCTCCTCATCATGTGGGCTTCTCTACAGGGCTGCCTGAGTTTCATCTATAAATAAAGATATCCTACGGGGATTTTAATGAGGATCACCTGAGATAACCTATGAGTTAGTGAGAGGTAAGCTGAAGCAGGCTGCATGAATTTGGGATAATATTATTAATAAATGAATTTATTGCCATCTTGCATAGGATATTCAGGAATATGGAGATATCCCTGACTCCTCCAAAAGAATGGCCAAGATCATGCCTAATTAACTCCATGTCCTGGGAAAGCCCCGCTCTAATGGAGATGACATCTTCTCCAGTGCTCTATAGGGTGGAGAAGATGAAGAAATCTGCACACAGCCCCCATGAAGATTCCAGTGTTGTGGCTGGGAATCTCTGTCTCCCTTTATGCTGGCTACATGAAAAAAGTGTGTTTTTGCTTACAGAGACCTGGTGGCCATTAGAAGGTGAGCACCCAAACCCTTTGGTGTCCTAGCCCACATATCGAGATCCCAACCCTTGATGGGAAGAACAAATCATCTGGGTAGAAAATAAATCCAGGGCTAGCCTAAGAGCAGAGTATGATGGAAAGGCTTTGGTGTAAGACAAACCCATCTGTGCTCATATTTGCTGGGAGAAAACTGGTGCCCACTAAGATTCTGTAACCTTCAGAACAAAATATTTTGTATGTAAAGCACCTAGAAGAGTGTCTGGCACATAATAGGTGCTCACTAGTGGAAGAGTCTTGGTAGTTTTGTTATTATTGTCATCATTCCAACTTCATATGGCTGTTTTGAGGATTGCTATATGCAATTATTTGTTTAAAACCTTATCATTCATTAGATTGTAAATTCCATGAGAACAGGAACCTTGTATATCTGTCCTGTTTACTACTGTATTCCTAGTGCCTAACAAAGAGAAGATACTCAGCAAATATTACATGTATGAATATATCTAAATCTAGAGCCTTGCATGTACTAGGTGATCTATATTTGATAATTATCAGCATTATAATCATCACCATACCATCCCCATTACCATCATCATCATCACCACCACCACCACCACCACCCCCATCCTCATGGCATAAGAATACCCTGGTGTGATATTTCAACAGTGTTCTCAGTGTTATGACAATGAGACCTAATTTCCTTTTCCACTTCAGGTTCTTTTAGTTCACAGAAGAATCTGGGTGTTTTCTTTTTTCCCATGGTGACAAAAGACCTGCTCCACCTTATTGGTATAATGATGTTATGACTTGAGGAAAAAAATTATATTCCTAAAAAATCTTAACAAGCCCTATAATCAGATTCACCACAAATCTCTTGAAGTGATGGTCCACTGGAGTTGAATCCCATCTTCACTATTTTCTATGTGGCCTTGGAAGAGGTACCAAACCTCTCTGGATCTTCATGGCCTCATTTCTAAAAGGACAAAAGTAAAAACTACCCAAAATACCAATAAGGCTGTTGTAAGAAATAACAGATGCTTTTTGTCTCATCTCTTGCGTGTGTCCTTTCCATGGTAGATGCTTAATAAGTATTTATAGAATGAATGTGTTGACTAGATGAATGATATAATTTATGTCTATAGCTTCACTACTCATTCCAGCAGCTGAGTCAGCACAAGAAGATAGCCTTTGAAATTCTAGGGAACTCTGAAGGGCTGGAAGATGTAAGTTCCAAGACTCACTGTGACTTTGGGCAAGTCCTGAGATATGATTCAGGGTCTCAAGGGTCTTTTGCACATAATAGGAAGAAATTCTGTTTGTACAACAATGAGAATGTACTTACTGCCACTAAACTGTACACTTAAAAACGGTTACAATGATAAATTTTAATTGATTTTATCACAATAAGAAAAAGAGGAAAATTCTGGCTAGCTAGAGTACTACTAGCTTTCTGGATCCTAAGACTTGAGACCAAAAATATTGGCTGGCATGTATAATACCTTACTTATGCCAAACACTGCTAAAACGTCAGATGCATGATCTCACGTAACCCTCTCAGTAATCCTATGAGTGAGATATTATTACTACTCCCATTTTATAGATGAGGAAACAGAAGCTTAATGAAGTATTTCTAGAGCTGGAGTTTAAAGCCATGTGTGTCTCTTTAGAGAGCTCTTGTGCTTTCCTACTTAATTTTCTGAAGATTGTTTGTTTGTTTGTTTGTTTGACAAATAACCAAATCACAAATGTAGGCAGCTCAAATCTTGGTCATATGAGCTTTGATAGAGAAAGTGGTATGGAGACCTGATACAGTTGAGAAAGGCCTTGTCTACTTCCATTCTTTGAAGCTCCCAGTGTATTGGAACATTGGGGAGGCAGAAAAGGAAGGAGGAGATGGAAGAGAGGCAATAGAAGAAAACAATGCCAAGCTGCAGTTACCAATATATTTCTGAATTTTTTTAATGTTTACATTTGATTCTTGTATTTGCATGATTTTAATAACAAAGAATAATTTATTGGACAAAGAAATCAAAAGTCCCAGTCACGTTCCTACAAGATTAGAAAGCCTGAGCTAATGGCTTTCCAGCCTTCTGCCTCCAGCTTCCCACCTTCCAATTCCTCTCATAGTAAGAGACCCTGGGTGGCATTGTGATATAACCTCAGGTGGCTCTTGGCATCCCCATAGACAGGGCTTCCAGGCTTCTCTTCTTACAGCTGAAGAGAGGAACAGAAAATCCAAGGCTCCCATCATATTATTGGTTTGACAAGACATAGCTATAAGGAGCACAACCCAGGAAGGGTTGCTCCCCCGAATCCTCTCCCATGGACTTGACTGATTCTTAAAATAGTTGCAGTAGTCATAGTTATAACAATAGCAGCAGCTAATACATAGAGGGCTGATAAATGTGCTCTACATAACTCATTTGTTTATCCCAACAGTTTGGTAAGGTAGGCACAATCATTAGTCATTTTTTTTCTATCTTTTTTCTCTAAGAGACAGGGACACCTAGAGTAATTTGTCGAAGGTTACAAAATTTTTAAGACACAGAGGTGGAATGTAATCATGGACAATGTCAACCATTTATGGAGCATTTACAATGAGATTGTTGCAAGAATTGAATGGAATAATTCACATAACCGTCTAACCCAGACCCTCACACCAGTCCTGTGGACATGGTATCCTAACCACCATCCTCAACTTACAGATGGGAAAGGCAAGACTTAGGGAAGTCAAGGAACTGACTGCTATTACACAGCTCAGAGGTGGCAGAGCCATGGGGTCAGTGTTGTGCCAAAGCACAAACAATGTCCCTTCTGCCCTTTGGTCTTCTCAGGGACTGATTAGAAAACAAGAAAGTAGATTTCCAACTTTTTGCAACATCACTTTACCTGGTCTCGTTAATGGTTCTGTGCTGCGAGTTTCTGTTGTTTCTGTTTTCATCCAAATAAAACATAAGAGAAAGTTCCAAGCTCCTAAAGCATAACATCACATCTTAAGGGCCAAATTTGATAATAAAATATATTGTTCTATTCAGTCTCCACATCACATTTCTTACAGAAGGTGGATATCATTTGTGCTGCCTTTTGTAGGCACAGGTTGCAATTGCTTTTTCAGCAATCATTTCTTATAACAACGCAAAACAATTCCAGCCAGCCCAGGCGAGGTTTTTTTCATAATTGTGTCTGTAATAATCCATTATTTTATGTTTATTTCATCAGTTTCAACAGTTCACAAGAACATCTATAATCTTAGATCCAGTAATCAACTGTTTCTGAATTGCCCCATCCTAAATTTAGGTTTCACACTTGGTAATTTAGCTAGAGAGTTTCACTGGTGAGTGCCACTCTTTCACGGTTGAGGGAAAGTGCTACTATTTGGGCTTTATTTAATTCTTATTGTTTAGCAAGTTGAACTGTATACCATGGAGTTTAATAATGCAGGGTGTAATTGCTCTAATGCTATGAAGGCACCTGGCTGCTGATTTCCTCAGTCTTCACTAGGGCTCGCTGGCAAATGAGATGTTGCTGCTTAGTGGGACTTCTTCTCTACTTCAGTATTTTAAGAAAACAAATATCATTGCAGTGTGGCATTTGTAGAAGATTCTGTTAAGAGCTGCTCATAATGGTGAATATTCGTTGATTGAGGAATTCCTGAGTGCTTGACACTGTATATTAGCTTATTTAATCTCACAACAACCATAGAAGGTGGGTACTATTACTACCTCATTTATAGAGGCTTAAAGAGATTCGTTTATAGCATATCACATAGTCCGTGGCAGAGAATCCCTGCTCCAGGATCAAACTTTGCAAACTCTATTGCGTTGTCTTCCCAGGACTACTTTCAGTTATTTTTGCAGAGCATTAAGGAAAGAATGAGAAAGCTCCACATGTTCTTATGAAGAATAAAGAAAGTCCCAAGTGAGTTGTGAATTCTGGATGTCTATTTGCCTGTTTCCCAGGTGGACTGTCATGACACTAATCACCAGTCATGGTGGTCCTTGTTTCTTGTGCCCCATCCACTCTTCAAATATGATCTCAACAACTGAGAACAAAATGAATTTCACTCTGAAGTATAAAGTATCTTATGAAGCTTTATGTATTCCCACTGCTAAGATCTCTTTCACTTTGTAGTAAGACTGACATTTGATTGCATGATGAAAACGACTCCTCCTTTATCAAAACGTTTAAGCTCTGAGGGCACCAATATACATGTTTTTTAAAATAGACTTACCACGCTTGTATCCCAGCACTTTGGGAGGCCAAGGTGGGCAGATCACAAGGTCAAGAGATCAAGACCATCCTGGCCAACATAGTGAAACCCCATCTCTACTAAAAATACAAAAATTAGCTGGGCATGGTGGCTTACACCTGTAGTCCCAGCTACTTGAGAGGCTGAGGCAGGAGAATCGCTTGAACCCGTGAGGCACAAGTTGCAGTGAGCTGAGATCATGCCACTGTACTGCAGCCTGGTGACAGAGCAAGACTTCGTCTAAAAAATAAAGACTTATAATAATCATATGTATTTAAAGACCATATAAATGTATGTTATTTGTTAATGGACTGAGAATGGCATCTTACCCAAAATTTGAGATGTACACATCTGAGACAACAGAGCAGTTTTCAAGAAAAATGACACAGAATTGACAGTTTATTTGGATTATACCTTCTGATTACCAGGAAGTGGATAAAAATTCTAAAATGTAAGCATACTTATCTAAACATAACTTGGAATTCATCAGCCAAACAATGAACATTTTGAGAGTACTTATGTAAGAAAAAGTGGATAAAAATCAATACTGCTTCTAAAAATATTTACAAATCCAAAAAACTTGAGCATAGCTGCTGAGAAATTATTCATTTTTAATGTTTCATTTTATGAAAATAATTAAATTTTATTATGACTTACTTATCCTTATCTCTAAAAAACAACAAAAATAATCACTATATATAATATGTATTATTTATTGCTTCCTTCAACAAATTTTTTTTTTTTTTTCCGAGATGGAGTCTCACTCT